GGTCAACTGAAGGCCAGGCTGGGAAAGCTATCTTGGAAGAAGGTACTGGAAGGCAAGGGAGGGGTGGATGGCACTCAAAAGGGAGGTCTTGGAGGTGCAAGCCTTAATGATATCACTGCCCAGCAAAGCAAGGAGGCACAGGAGGGTATTGCAATGGATGCAAAGAGAGGTGGTAAGGCAGATTAGAATTAAAGAAGACCTCCACAGGAAATGGAAATTGAGCCAATTGCACAAAAAGGCATATCAGGAGGAGGTGGCTCAATGCAGAAAGACACTTGGCAAGGCTGAGGATGATTATGAGCTGAGACTTGTGAAGAATGTGAAGGGCAACAAAATGGGCTTCTATTCTTATGTAAATACTAAGAGAAAAGGGAGACAGGTGGTGGGACTGCTTAAATGAGAGGGAGGGGATCTGGTAACTGGTGTCAGGGAAGAAGCACATATGTTAAACAATTGTTTTACTTCTGTATTCTCCTCAAAGCAGGTTGGGAGGATGTTCCGGTGGGGGGGGGGATGAGGTTGGGGTTATGGGCCCAGAGGTTAGACTCACTCCCCTAGAAGTTAAGGAGCTCCTTAGGGCCCTGGACATCACTAAGGCACCAGCTATTGATGGGTTACACCCAAGGGTACTTTGAGAATGGGAAGAAGTACTCTCACGGGAAAACAGGAACAGTTCCAGAGGAATGGGGGGGGGGGTCGTGTCAGCAGTCCCTCCTATCAGTGGTTCAAAAAGTTTAGTAGAGGGGTCAAGTAGAGTTACAGGCCAGCTAGCCTTACATCCATTCTGGGAAAGATGATGGAAAAGCTTACAACAGGGAAAGCTCTAGAAATCCTGGATAGGGAAAGGAGGTTGGCAGTCATGTAACATGGCTTCTGCAAAAATAACTCCTGCCAGACAAACCGAGTTCTATGACCAAGTTTCGAGGTGGGTATATTAGGACGTGGTAGATGAGGTTTGCTTGAATTTCTGCAAGACCTTTGACAAGGTCCCACATGATATCCTGATTAAGAAATTGAGGAACTTTGGGATACATTGATGCACTGTCCAATGGATTAGGGCATGGTTGACATACAGCAAATAGAGGGTAACTATCAGTGGGGAGTCATCAGGACAGCAGCCAGTGGAATCCCCCAGGGCTCAGTTCTGGGACTGAATCTGTTCAACCTTTTTATCAAGTGACCTGCAGGAGGGAGTAACCAGTCTGCTGACCAAATTCACAGACGATACCAAAGTGGGAGCAATGGGCACAAAGGAGGATCAGGCACTCCAGATCCAAAAGGATCTGGACAAACTGTGAAAGTGGGCAGAGGACAACAGAATGGTGTTCAATACAGATAATTTCAAAGTCTTGTACTTGGCCATCAGGAATAACTGCCATAGGTACATGATGTGGGACAAGTGACTGGAGAACAGTACTTGTCAAAGGAATCTTGGGGTACTTGAAGACAGCAGGCTAAACATAAGCCAGCAGTGTGATGCAGTGGTTAAGAAGGCAAATGCCATCTTTGGATGTACAGTCAAAGGTATGGCTTCCAGATAAAGGCTATGTTGCATGTGGGATGTGTACAGACACCATTTTGCATATCTAAACTTTGTTTTGTGTCATGCAAACACAGCTGTGAGCTGTGCAAGCATTAAACAATCCTGTGTGAGTCATGTGGAGGTTCTTTAAGCCTCACAAACCCAAGCCCACTGGATTTACATGACATGACAAACTCCTGAGGAGGAGCTGGGTGGCCAAAGCAGTGTCCATGGGCACAGCAGCTTGTCATGGGTTAAGTAATCCATAATGCCCAGCACAGTGTCATGTGAACAAAGTCAATGAACATTCCAATTAATGTTGTTGCTAATTAGGAATGGCAAAATATGCAAAAAGCCACACTACTATTAATTACTACAATGGATGAAAAGCATTGTACTCCAAACATTCTGCAACAGGCCAATGAGTGCCTTGGCACAGAATTCTCAGGAATGTGTTCTGCTGACTTGCACTGAGCACTGTAAAATGGGTCAGTGACTGAAGTCCTGTAAGGCATGCAGAGTCTCCCCTCCTTCTTCAGCCAAAGGTTCACAGAAGGGCAGGAGAGGGCTGTGCTGCCTGGCACAGACCATTCCTGTATGTGAGACACACCCATATGGGACAAGGCTCATAGCACAGACAGGACAGATAATGGCTGCACATTTAAAATTGCAGCCATTTACCAATTGCATTTGTACAAACAAATTTTGTATTTCACCATTATATTTGTATTTCACCATTTACCAATTGCATTTGTACAAACAAATGCAAAACAGCTCACAGCTAAAATATGTATAGTATTCATCTCATAAAGCCCATAATATTTCAGTATCCATTATCAATCAAAATGATGACAATTCAAAGCTGAACATGATTTAAACATTTTAAATGATTTTAAATATTTTGGGAGCAGATGTTTGCACTTGATATCTAAATAAGTACAAAGTGAGGGGTTTTGCAGACTTTCCCCAGAGAGGCATGTTCCAAAACTGAGTAAGCTGTATGTGAAATCTGACCTACAAAAACGAATGGAGCCCTGCCAAATAGAAGTTTATATAAAAACACAGGGAGCTTTGAATAGACAGTGTGTACAGAGATAGCTCTGTACTCTTAAAAGTGCAACAATGAAAATAATCTGTACTTACCCTTGCCAGTAAGCATTGCCAGTCGCTAACAGAAATTGCTAGACTTATTCTTGGTTATTCTGATAGCTTTTTCCACAACAAGAAAGCTCCAAGGTAGCAGCTGAGTTGACGGTGGCCAGTAGATGCAGTTAAAACACAAGGCAAGCAGAAATTGTCATGTAGCAGTTTCAGTATATCTCCATGGGCATTTTAAACACTAGATTTCTGCAGATTATGTCAACTAGGCTTTACACGGGTGCCAAGTCTGATTTCAGAGGAGATAGGAAAGCTACACTTAATCCACTTGCTTACATTTGAAGTGGGGATGGGGAAAATCTGCCAGGCAGAACTATGGGCTAATGACAAGTACACAAAGAAAAGGGCACTTTTGCCCGATGTAGAAGGATGTCCTACAGGTGTTATGCCAAAGGGAAACTAACAATGGAGATGTAAGGGGAGTCTTCTGGATGGATCAGGGTGGGACTTCATCAACCAGTGGGCAGAGCCAGACAATGCTCCTGCTGCACCAACTATTAGATTATGCCATATGGAGCAAAGAGAAGCACAAAGGGAAAGACAAAAGCCACATGCAACAGGAAAGGTATGCAATGCTTTCCAGATGGCTTCTGGTTTTATCTTTTATTGTGCATCATCGGGGGAATGAATTAGCAGTAGCTTTTCTGTGCGAGGATCCATTTGGACAATGGATATTTTCAGTCAATTTTATTTGCTTAAGGATTTGAGCAAGAAAAGTTTCTGTCTTCTGTTTTATAAATTAATTCAAGGTTAAATAAGTTAAATGATTCCTTGCCTCACCTCTAGAAAGTGGAAAATATTAATGCATAAGGAGCGTAGGGAGACATATTTCACATGAACCACACTAAGAATGTGCAGAAACAGGATGTCTGTTGAGTAGGTGGAAAAGTTTAGAATGTCTCAAAATAATGATTCTCATTAAACCAGAACAAAATCTGCAGACAGGCATGTTTTGAGAAGAGATTTAAATCTCAAATTCTGTTTGGAAACCATTCCATCTTCCCTAGGGAAGGACAGATTCTATGATATATGCTGAGCCCGCTCAGTTAAAAGTTGAAGCAACTATTATGAAGACTGAGTTTTGATAATTTTGGCACTATTGAGACTGTTACGCTTTGATGTAAAATGTGAGTTGTTTGTATGTGTGATGCATGTAATGATTAACTTGATCAGAATAAGTAAAGCAAAACAATTTTCTTAAGGAACAAAAGGCAATCCTCAAAGCTTTTTTGTGGTAGTACAGACCAAATGCAGAGATGAGGAATACATATGACATATCTAATTTTGTACTTAGCTGTAAAGATTAAAAGGTCCTATTTATATGAGATCTGTTGGGAAGAGGGGATTCCTACCTTCATTGGATCTGATCATTAAACATTTAGTGAAAAAATGTAAGGGATATAGATTGGAAGCTTCCAGAAATCAGCTATTTTTATGACTGAACATACAGACATAATTTATGGTAATTACACACATTAATAATTACCATAAATAATTACAAAATGGCATTATGTATATAATTATATAATTTTGCAATAATTACTACATGGAAAATATAACTATAATATCAGGTAGGTTCTATTCATAACAGTCAAATCCTAATATAATCCTAATATAACATGTAAAAATGAAGCAAATGGCACCTAAGCTGGTTTGACTTGTTCTTTAACTCTAACTTTACAGCCATTTCATGTTATCTGGCAGCAAATTCAGTGTACCACAGAATGTGTACTCATCAGGGAGGTACACCTGATTCCAGTTCTCTGACATGTGTTTGCCTTATTCACTTTACATTTTTAAAATGCACTTATAACATCTTATATGTACCTAAGCAGTGTACAGTATCTGCATCTAAGCATCTGCAGGACTGAGCTGCTTAAGCAGAACTATTCGGCAAAACTGTAAATAACTTTTGTTATCAAAGATTAATTGAGCCACAGCTTATTAAGTCACTGTGAACATTTCAAAAACCTAAACAATATTAATCTGCTATGAAGAGAACCTATGTGATAAACTGATCTCTACATGAAATAAAATTCATGCTTTCCTTTTGCCATTCAACTTAAATTGTTTTCTCCTTTCAAAGTCTTAGTATCTTCTTGTGTAGCATCTATTTCAGACTGCCATTATCTAATTATCTCCTTGTGATTTAATTTCAGAATACAGGTAACAGACTGGTTGTTCACATTGGGTTTGGGGAGAAGCTCCATAATAATGCTTGACTTTTTACTGGAGTGCACACCAGACACAGAAGACACACAATACCTTTTATGATTTTAAATATTGATCAAGGTCAGCAGCACTCCTGCTTCATTACAGAATGTCTTATGGTAATGGTGAAACTGGTGGGCACCCAATGTACAGCATTTGCAGTGCCATTCCATGTTCTGATTCCCAGCTGGGGAGCATAAATGGACACAGGAAGTCTACGGCCTTGCTAGAAGTAAGAACAAATTTAAACAATATGGAATACTCTGCTGTGGCACTTGATCCTGATTCTTTGGTGACAAATGGATCAAAAATCCCTCAAAACTTAGAAGAGGAAAACTCACAAGATCCTGCTTTCCAGATAAACAATGAACATCTGACAGGAAATGAGGTACACCATGCCTACACAACAAAATGCTTTAATGGCCCATATTTAACCAAAACTAGCATGCAGGGAGATGTGTACAACTTTCTGGAACGCCCCAGTGGATGGAAGTGTTTCATTTATCACTTTACAGTGTAAGTACCTATCTTATTTCCGTAAGAGTTACTGTGTGTTAGACTTATTGTGAACCTGTACTTTTTTAATGGCAGAGAAAGTGAGCAATACAAATTCTTCCTCTGTAAAGGTGAATCAGTAAGATGTTAGCACCAAAACTGACAGGAATATGTGAACTCATCTGATAATTTTTTTGTTTTCCTTAAAATTTCTCACATGCTTTGTTTGTGAAGGAATCCTCAAAATCATTTTGAATCTTGTTTTAAGGAAATTTTGAACACCATTCTGGACTAGCTTAAAGGTTTCGTTTACCTGATGAGAGCTTGTATAGTACTGAGGTGGTAAGCTGTGCCTGGAAAGACTCCAATTCAAAGTGTACCTCAGCCATGAATTTACTAAGTAAATTTACTAACCCTAGGTCATGTAGCTAGTTAAACACAAGGCATCCCTCACACATGCTTCAGGTACCACATGGGGACAATTCTGACTCACCAAACAGGTTGGTGTAAGGACTCCTTGGGAAATGTACATGGAACTCTCTGACACTGAGACACTATCGCTCCACTGCTGACTGCACCTGCAGCACCTGAGAAGTGCAGCTTTTCTTCAAACATGACCGAGCATTTCTGTATCAAAGATGGTATACTATGTATCATAACAAAACGAAGTTTTCATATTTTAATAGGAGTTACAATTGTATATAAAACATGAAATAGTTACATGGGATTTTAATTATGCTGGTATCTGTTGAGAGACAAACTCTTTCCGACATGGCCTTTCCAGGAAATTCCTGACATGCCTTGTTGACAACATTCTTCTTCAGAGGGTGGAGGGGAGAATCCTTGGCTTGATTCTGGTCAAGAAGGAAAAGCTGATGATGTGGACGAAATGGGAACTTCTTTCTGTGTGATGGAAGTGTCTATGTAATGTTAGAGTTCCTAATTTTAAGGAAAATGAAAACTAATTTTATTCAAACAGTGTACCTTGGACTTCAGCTAAGCTGATTTTAGTAAACAGAAAGAAAAAGCAGAATCCCATGTCAGGAAAACCCTATTAGAGGAGCTCAAAAGGAATAGTAGTTCCTAAGAAAGGAGATACTAAAGATGCACATAGAAACAATGCTGATGAGAAAAAAATGGGGGACAACAGAAGAAGCCAGTGTGGTTAAACAAAAAGCTTAGTGATGATCTGAAAATCAAAAAGATCTCATATAAGAATTGGAAGGAATGATAGGATAGTGAAGAAGTATCTAGAGAGATAGCTAGAGTAGCACAGATGGTGGCAAAAAGCCTAAAGCTCAGACCAAAGTTGCTTAGAGATGCTAAAAATAACAAAACAGACATCTTAGATATATTCAAAGAAAAAGAGGAATAAAAGTAATGGTAGACCAGATGCTGAATGAAGAAAGCAAAATGCTGACAAAGATTTTTGAGAAAGAAGCAGAATTGCTCAACTCCTATTTTGGCTCAGTCTTCCCCCAAAAGGGTGTTTTGCTTTTGACCTAAGTGGCAAATGGGCTGAAGCGGCAGGACTCCAGCTTGAGGCTGACACACAGACAGTCAGGGAATAGCTGAGCACTTTAAGGGAAAACTTAGCAAATGTGCAGATATGAGGTGGGATAGCTACCAACTTGCAAGATAAAAATAAAATTTGAAGTGATCATGATAGTTTATAAAACTATGCTGAAAACAAGGAGTAGAATAGCTGTTCAATTAGGAAAAAAAAAACCCTAGGGTACAAGATGGGGGATGCCTGCCTTGGTAATAGTACCTGTGAAAAGGATCTTGGCGTTGTATTTGACCACAAGCTGAATACAAGTCAGCAGCACTGATGTGGCTTCAAAAAAAGTAAATGCAAAGTCTCATCAATAAACATATAGTAGTCAGACTTGTTCAATGGAAGAGCCACGCATGGTGAATGTCAGATGCTTGAGAGCTGCATGTTAGTGGCAGCAGAGGATGATGAGTGGCAAGTGGGCACCCACTGGCACCTGAGGCAGCAAGTGGCAAGCCACAAATAAATTCAAACAGCTGCATGCAGCTCCTAAAACTTGGGTTGGCCACCTCTGACATACAGTTTCAAAAGTATAGAAAGTAATAGTTCCACTTTACTCTGCACTGGTCAGTTTTGGACTTTTAGGAAGTATTCAGAAAATTGGAACAACCTTGTCAATCTTGCTACCTTTTCAGTACCAGGTAAAGACCATCCTCTCCTGCAGGGCATTCAAATAGCTTTTGGGGCCTGCTAGTTGCTACAGGTTTGAATATTTTCCTGCTTCTTTTTAATGTTTTTAATATAATATAATATCAACCTGTTTAATATGTGGTTTTAAATTTGGATTATGAACTTTGAATATATCCTGTGTCTTTTATTGGTTTTTCAATGTATTTGTGAACTGCCCAGAGAACCTCAACTGTTAGGTGGTATAGAAATTAAATATGTCAATATTTCTTCTATTGTTATTATTTGTATTAACTTTTATGCCCAGTCTATTAGCTCAAGCAGTGCAATTTAAGCCATTCCTATTCCTTCTTCTTGGGCTAAAGAAATACAGTCGTTGGATTGCTGTTTGAGGAAAGGTGATGGTAGTTTTTCCCTCTGTGAGTAGGGCCCCACACTCACTCCCTTTCCTGTGAAGCCAACTGTCTGTTGTGACCTGGTCTTTCTTGCCTCTACCCTCTGCCTTTCCTCTTAGTCTTCTAACTGCAGTCTTTTATTATGTTAAAGCTGGCCGACCAGGACTGCCTCTTGTGATAGAAAGAGGGTAATGGCAAGCATTGGAACCCTGCCTCTTCTTCCACTTCAGACTGGAGTCCAATTCAGTATCCACCTCAGAATTCTGTATGTTGGTAGAAGTGGGCCTAGTTCCTAATCTATTTTTGCTGAAGACAGTGGTGCCACATCCCTCCTTCACCACACATTCTATCAGACATGAGAAGGGATAGGTTGCAATAATGCTTCAGGAGGCCTGTTGCTCCCTAACAGGAGAAATTTGCTGTTGGCTTGGCAGGAGCTGCTCCTGGGGTAGTTGTGAAACAGGATTGGTCATGGTTTTTAACCATTTGTGTTTCTCTGGTCTGCTGTGTGCAGTTTGGAAATTCTGCAGAACCCTCCCGAAATCATCCTTTTTACTGCAGGCCACAAGGTCAGGCACATGTTTATAGAAGGATATTCTATAGATTGCATGTGTCAAAATTCTACATATCAAATTTCCCCATAGGTCAGGAGTACTGATCCTTCATTCATGCTGGAGCCATCCATGCTAATTTTCTTTACCTTGTTTCAGTGTATGTGGCCCTGATTCAGCACTCGGCAGCATGGAAGGCAGGATTTTACAAAAGAATAGGTGTGTGTGCGGCTGGGAATGACTGTGTGCCCTCACAGAGATAAAGGAAACTAGGATATATGGAAAGAGCATTTTGTTTGGCCCTCTGCTTCAGGAGAGTGGTTTGCTCTGGAGGTAACTTTGGCAGGAGCTAGAGCAGGGGTCCTCAAACTTTTTGAATAGGGGGCCACTTGAAAGGTGCCAGGGATGGGTGTGGTCTGCCAAGGTGGTGCGGGCAGGGGGCGCAGGCCGGGCTGGGAGGGGGCGCGTGTGCACAGAAAGGCAGGGGCATGCGTGCACAGAGATCCTTTCCTCCAAGCGAGTCCAAAACGATCTCCTTGCCAGCAAGTCAGCACCTCGCCATACATGTGCGTGAGTGCACGCACGCGTGGCGAGCTATGGCAGGCTGGATCAATGAGCATGGCGGGCTGGATCCAGCCTGCAGGCCGTAGTTTGAGGACCCATGGACTAGAGGCAAGTTTCCTAGCCAAGTGGTTTTCTGGCATTGTGTGCCTCTGTTGTGTGTATATCTGCCTACAGAAGTTCTGCTTCATGTTGCTGCTTTCAGCAATTGCAGTGAACAGGCCCTTCAGGTGTTTCGTGCTTTCCTGCTTCATTCTTGCCGTGCTCTCATTCTCCACCAATTTTGTGGTGGTGCCTGCAACATATCCTCAGAGTGTCAGATGTACCCACAAATGTGCAATTATAATTTTGTTCTTTTGTGTGCTGTTTGTGTGTGTTTTAACTTTTCTTAACCACCCAGAGAGCCTTGGCTATCGGGCAGTATATAAATGAATAAAATAAATAAACAAATTCCATGAAGTGGTTAAGTACAAGAGAGTATTTGTTACTTGGTGGATTGAAAATATTATTTTACATCAGGGATGCTTTCAGATCAGGTGGCACACCTTGCTGACTATCCTTTTTTAGTTGTTCTCCATGTGTAGAAAGTGACAAAGGCAACACTGGAGAGGGGAGGGGCTGCTGCTTTCCCCTCCTTGTGTATTTAATCATGACACTTCCAAATGCCTGAGTAGGTGAGCAGAGATAGTGAAGAAACTGAAAGATCTAAAAGAAAACAGAAAGCTTAGTGGAATGACCTCAGCTAGTTCCTAGAGGCTCAGAGAGTCAGGGCCTACAGGGCTTCCTTATGTCATATTTTGAAATAAAATGTCATGGCAAAGTTTAAGAAATCAAGCTTTCAGTTTAAGAAATATCCATTCCAAGATTCTGTTGTGAGGGACTAGGATTGGGTTGGAACTGCTTTACTCTTCTTAGATAGCTTTGGCTGCAAAGTGTTGGCATGACTTCCAGTGATGCTGCTGTGGGATTTAGGCCAAATAACCTCATGCTTTAAGTATTCACCATTTAGGTGATTGTTTTTCTTTGTTGTAACTTCTGTCTGGGAAATCCATTAGTGTGGGTATGAGATTCAGAAGACATACTGAAATTGCTTACTTAGAAGGAGTTCTTCTGTTGAAGGCCATCAGAAATTGCTGCATGCTTGTTCCTTCAGCTGAAGGAACAAGCATCATGGTATTGGAGTGGGGCAAAGGACTTACATCTGGTAGCCTAGAAGAGCCAGTTCTGCTCTACAAATGGGAGGTCAGACTGCTTAATTACCTTTGAGTTTGTTAAACTTTTTGAAAGTCAGAACATGATCTGAGGAACCATCAATTCAGAAACATGGTTAGA